AGTCCATGCTCTTAACCACTACACCAAACTGGCTCTCCTGATTCGAAGCAGGGACTTCCTGACTTGTACCTCCGAGCCAATTCCCAAGGGGTCGTGGAGAACTTGAGCTACTCACTGGTTGGGCCTAGAAGAGCTATTTCGAATCTGGTAGCAAACTTAGAAACTGGCAAGATTTTCAGGATATGAGCTTTCAAGAGTAGGTAACCTGATCTCGGAACCCCATCCAGGAGGAAAACAGGGTTGCCAACTGTGGGTTGCGAAACTCTTGGGGAATTCCGGTGGGTGGAGCCTGGGGAGGGTGGAGCTTGTGGAAGGGAGGGCATTCAGCAGGGATGCAATGTAACTCTAGGACTTCCCTTTTTCCTAGACTCTATGGCAGGGGTGTCGAACTCATTTGTTATGAGGGCCGGATCTCACATAAATGAGACCTTGTTGGGCCGGGCCATGTGTGTCATAAAATGTGATGCCAGGTAGCGGAGATACAAACTTTCTAAAGGACACAAACACAAAGGGTTGTGTGTGTTTTTTTTTAACTTAAAACATTAGCACCCTTGCAACGTTTTGTTTATTTAACAGTGTCCGGTAACTGACAACTCTTGCTCTGAATGATTGCATCAAAATGTCTGTGCTGTTGCAATCTTGAGTAGGCTGTCCAGGTGTGTCTCTGTAAGCTGCAAACCTACCATGATGCAGCAGCAGCAGAACTGGAAGAAGAAGCAGAAGACAGCCAGTTCCACTGCGGACCTGATAGAAGCCCTCCGGGGGCCTAATTTGGCCCCCGGGCCGCATGTTTGACACCCCTGTTCTATGGCATACCACAGAGTCCACCCTCCAAAGCGGCCATTTCCTCCAGGGGAACTGAGGTCTGTAATGTAGAGGCCCACTTGTGATTCCGGGAGATCTCCAGGCTCCAATTGGAGGCTGGCAGCTCTAGAGGGAAATAGGATCTTTCGCTCACTCCTGAACTCTTGGCCAGCTAAGGCAGTGTTGAGAGACCCAATACGCTCCATTCAGCACATCCGTTTAGCAAGGTGGGTATGCGGTGACCCAGTCCTGACCCCTTTCCTGCCTGCTGTGCAGGCAACAGACACGTCCGCAAGGAGGAAGGACCAACCACGGCAGGTAGCCTCCCCGCCCCCTCTTCCTTTTAAAGCAAACCCACTTCTGCCCTTCCTGCTTCGTCTGAAAAACCGCATACAGGATGCAGAGGTGCATTTCGAGAACGAGAGAAAAGTACAAATCTCTGAAGCTCTCTCGTCCATGCGGGGGACACTGCGCAACAGAACGGAGGCACAGCAGGGGCCGTGAATCAGTGGTTAAAGAAGAGAATGGATTTGTACCCTGCCCCTTCACTACCCGAAGGAGTCTCAGAGCGGCTTGCCATCTCCTTTCCCGCCCCCGCCCCACCACAGACACCCTGTGAGGTAGGTGGGTCTGAGAGAGCTCTTTGCAGAACTGCTCTTTCCAGAACAGCTCGGAGAGAACTGTGACTGGCCCAAGGTCACGCCAGCAGCTGCATGCGATGGAGTGGGGAAATCAAACCCAGTCCGCCCAGATTAGAGTCCGCGCTCCTAGCCACTACACCAAACTGGCTCTGTTAGGCATGTAGAAGGCCCCCGGTTCAATCCCTGGCATCTCAAATTCAGAGGATTAAGTAAGAGGAGATGTGAGAGACCACGGAGAGCCTAGGGGTGCCAGGTCTGTCAGAAACATTGACCCGGGGGGGGGCAGAGGCTGAGACCTTCCCCTGATGTTGCCTCCCGGCTCTGGGGTTCAAAGATTGAGTGCCTCTGACCGTGGAGGTTCCCCCTCAGCCACCATGGCTAGTAGACGTGGATAGATGTCTCCTCCATGAGTCTATCGCATTCCCTTTTGAAGCCGTTTCTTCCTGTGGCCATCGCGACATCCGTCTGGCAGCGCATCCCACCTTCGACATGCAAGACAGAGGCTCTACCTGCTGACTTGGAAATGCCGGGGATTGAACTTGGGGCTTTCCATATGCGAAACAGAGGCTCTACCCACTCGGCCGGAGAGCCCGGGGACTGAACTTGGGCCATTCCGTTGGCAAAGCAGACGCTCTGCCCCCTGAGCCACAGCCCCGTAGCTAGGGATTTTTTTTTCCTCGGAGGGGGCCAGGGGGTGCAGCTAATTAAATCATAGTCAATTACATTAATTCAATGTGGGGCCAGCCCGGGAGGGAGACGGCCCGGAAGAAACATGAGGGGCCGGGCCCCGCGGGCCCTGCATTAGCTACGGGCCTGCTGAGCCATGGCGCATCCCATTATCCTGCTTGCAAGCGAGTATATTTCTCTGTTGCCCCATCTCGATCCCTTATCTGCCCCCCTTGCCCACTTCGCCCCTGGGTCTTTACCGCACACAGCTGAGCCACCCTGGAGACACGCTTCAGTGCCTCCGGGTTCCTGGGCCACTCCGGGTTGTCCTCTTGGAAGAAGAGGTAGATCTTGTCCTTGTACGCCTCCTCGTTCTTTACGATGGCCCCCTGAACGAGCTTGGGGTCTGCAAATGGAGGAGACGGAGCGACGGTGAGTCAAGACGGGACAAGGGAATCTCTCGGTTGGGAGATGGTTGCGCCAAGCCCTGCTGCAGGTGGGCGGCCGGCCTGAATATAGGTGCACGACCGTTCTTCGTTCATTCCAGGCAATGCCCAACTAGAGCATTCTGGGCAAGGAAAGAACGTGCCTGTATCCTGTAGGTCGCCAGGAAGAGAGAGATACAGGAAACTGTCGGTCTTCGAAAGGGCGCCCAATCTAGCTTCCTCTTTTTCACAGTCACCAACTTCTGGGGAAGCCAACGAATAGGGTACTAAAAAAAACCAACACCCCCCCTTCCTTTGCGGCCCAGCAGCTGACATTCAAAGGTACATTGCTCCTGAATCTGGAGGTTCTATTGGCTATAGTAGCTGATAGTTGATTCATGGGTCTATCTTTCACGAGTTCATTTCGCCCCCTTTTGAGGCCATCTGAGGAATGAATTCCCCCTCGTGTCAGGGATCTGTGAGCAGATCCGCTCAATGCTTGTTTAAATGGTTTTTTTAAAAAGGGTTAATTTGGACAGGAGCTGTTGGGGAGTGGGAGGAATAATAATTTTTCTTCAAGTCTCACTTTCACCAATTCTCCCAGACTTCCATTATTACAGGGAGAGGGAAGAAAATTCTCTCTGCTTCCTGTTAGTGTGCAATTTAGATACCCAAGTTCTCATTTTTTATCGGTTTTCCTCAAAACTAAAAATTCCCAAACGCTTTAACCTTTCCTTGCATTACCACCATAATGAATAAGAACTGCATGTTATTGCTGTCTTCCTCTAACGAGCTCGGGGTAGTGTGCATAGTTCCCCTAATTTTTCTTCTCACAACCACCCTGTGAAGTAGATTAGGTGGAGAGAAAGCAACCAGCCAAACATTGCCTGCTAAGTTTCGCGGCCACTAAGTTTTGCGGCCAATCAGGGATCTGCACTAGGGCTGTTAGGTCCATTCTGGAGACTTACCAGGAAAAGAAGGAAGGCCCCAGGCGACGTCACCAGCTATGTGGCAACGACGGTTCCGGCGCTCACAGGAAGTGACATGATCATGCTGTGACGTTGCGGCCACGCTCTGGTATTTGTGCAAAAAAATTCTACGGTAAAAATGGCTTTGACAATAGAGTTTTTGCCCCAAAAAACAGAGTGTCACCCAGATGTCGCTGGCGTGATGACGTCACTTCCTGTGCACGCTGGAAGTGACATCGTCACATCCCCAGTGCCGTCACCTGGGCCTTCCTCTTTCTCCTGCTAAGTCCCCCACCACCACGGGCCAGCTGACTAGCAGCAAGGGGCCAGGCCTGGTGGCGGGGGAACCCCGCCTCCACCGGGGGGGGGGGGGGCGGCAACCCGGCTATGCCCACTGGCAACCCTGATATGCACCCAGGACTTCCGGGTCCCCAAGTCCACCTCCAGTCTGGTGTAGTGGTTAGGAGCACAGACTGTAATCTGGGAGAACCGGGTTTGATTCCCCAATCCTCCACATGCAGCCAGCTGGGTGACCTTGGGTCAGCCACCGTTCTCTCAGAGCTGTTCTCTCAAGGGCAGTTCTCGGGAAAGCTCTCTCAGCCCCACCTACCTCTCAGGTTGTCTGTTGTGGGGAGGAGAAGGGAAAGGGATTGTAAGCCGCTCTGAGAGTCCTTCAGGCAGTGAAGGGTGGGGTACGAATCCAATCTCCTCTTCCTCCACCACCACCCCCGCACTGACTCGTCAGAATATTTTTTTTAATTAATCAGTTAATTAACAAAACGCCAGCTGGCTCTTCTCAGACACTGGGCTAACACACTGAAAGAACGGAAAGAGAAGGCCGGGGCCGCAACTGGGCAGCCCCTGTTCATTCACCCCTGGGGACTAGTGATAGCTCTCTACCTCCCCAGACAAGAAACACATGTGTGCACACATGGAATTTTCGTTCCATCGCCACCGTTTCGGGGGAGCGACACTGCAATAAACAGTGTCCCAGAGGAGGACAAAAAACTGAAAAAGTGCCACCCTCCACCCCCATTTCCTCCCTTTCTACATGAGATCAGAGAGAAAGCCCTGTACGGAGAGGTAACGAGTGGAACTTCCCGTCACCCAAGGCTCATTATCACGGGCTCCCTGGGGTAGGGGGAGAGAATCCTCCTTCCATTACGCACATTAGAGAGAACACGCACCTGTTTTGCTCTCTGCAGCAAGCCGCTCAGAGCGGGCGGTTTTTCATTTTTAAAAAAAGCTGGCTAATTTTTCGCTCCATGGATCACGGCACCCACGCCGAGCGCACAGTCCTCACAACCTCCTGCATCGCAAGAGGTTCCAGACCCCGTGACACAGCTTACCCCGCGTGGAATACCACATGACAAAGAATGGTGCGGGACTTCCCCTTCCCTCCCTCGCCCCCAGACTTCCCTTTTATATAGTAAAGCCGATATCTTTAGATGGAATTGGTGAAGGGAGGGGGTCAATTTAACCTTTCCCTTCCCAGTGGCTTGTCTGTTCCAGTTT